CATCACATACCACTGTATCCTCTCATTCCTGCCCCAAACTCACCTACTTTGCCATTTATTTTTTTCGTCGTATACACTTGCCTTACACTTGGCTTCTTTTATTATTCACTCATTCTTCGTTATTTCCAGCGTCGACATCTATTCATCTGACTTTTGGCCAACCGCCTCTATTGAATGTGAATTTTGGGCTTTCATTGTCCTGCCTTCAGCCAAATACCTCCAGCTGCTTGCTTTCCCTTTCCGCGAAAGCACGCCTGCTCAGACAATTAGTACCTGCACGAGACAATTTTCGCAAATGCGTCACTCACTCCTCCACACACTTCCGCTTCTACTGTCACTTTTCATTCGAGTTGAGTGATTTCAATCTGTCACATGAATTTGTATTTTTTTGGACATTATATGCTTGATTCCACCCTTGAGAGGATAGGATTTCTTTGAATTAAAGTCCATATGGCAGGATTAAAAAAATATTTGGAGAAGAAAAAAAAACACGCAAATGCTTACATACATACCTATGTATGTCCCTAAACATGTTTGTTGTACAACACACGAGTCGAGAAATTTATCGCTGGCAAGATAAGCACTCCTGCTACTGGTTAATTAATTTTAGAGAGGGTGAGAATTCTTAGTCAAAAACGAGGAGCCGAGAATCTCAATGCTAATAAAAACCCCTCTTAGTCTTATAACACACGAATACACCATAGTCCCCGAAATCTTATCTCCAAATTAAAAATAAGCTTAGAGGTGTTATAAAAGGTGGCTGTTGTTGTTCAAGCTCCAAAAAAAATTTTGTCGCACATATTTTGTATGGAAGAAAATACATGACACTGTTAACAAAAAAAAATAAAATAAAAATTTAAATCAACGGTACTTTGTAGCCACTTGAGACTTGCACTTTATTGTACTAAAGTAAATGTGCTACAAGACTGCATACACGCAATTTTCTAAAAAATATTATTAACTTATGCACTACAGGTCATTAGGATAGCTCACCCCTTTGTTGACATGTTTTTTAAATGTGTATAAAATTTTAAAATCGCATTTACACGTAGAATATGCTACATTTTTAACCGACTTCCAAAAAAGGAGGAGGTTATCAGTTCGTCGGAATATATTTTTTTTTGAAGTCGGTTTTTTTGTGCTAAAAATTACTTGTTATCAAATAAGATATGCTTCAGTTGAAATCTGGCAGGTATTAAATAACAAAAAAACGATTTTAAATGTGAATAACTCAGTCGAAACTTTTTTCGAACCTTCTTTTATTTCTATTTAAATGAAAGACTTACAAATACTATTAGAATAAATTTCCACGCCAAAAAACCCGTACTTTAGAAATGACACCCACCATTAATACTTGGACATCGCTTTCGTTGATCGATTGAGCCTGTTTTCGCCACATTCTGCGGAACTGCGTTATTCTTGAAGCCGTGCATTTTGTTTTTTTTTTTAATTTTGATTTCATATGGGGCCAAACAATACAGGTTCTCAGAACAACACTCCAGGTGCAAAAACATGTGCAGAAAGATTCGGATTCCTTTTCAAAGTCCATTGGGAGATGTGTACATTTTGCATGAATTTGTCCAAAATCAATTTTCTTCTTATTAATGAATATTATTTAAACAAATAAAAGGAAAACTGTACATACTGAGGATCATAAGGGTATGCTATTCAGATGACTGGGAGTGTACATTAGGGCGGGTTGATTTTTTGTTTTTAAATCGTATAGCAAAAACGTAAACTACATAAAATTCTAAGAAAATTCTCCGAAGAAACCATGTATCTAAAATAAAATCCTAATCCACGCCTCTCGTCTTGAAAATTTATATGGCCGCCTTTGCCAAAAAAATAAATGTTAGAAAAAATAGATTTTTCCAAAAAGAAATCGAATTTTCTGAATAAAATTGTTTAGTAAGGTAGTTCTTTTGCACTTTATATTTTTTCTACACTCAAAATTTTTTTTCATTAAAAAAAATATTCACTCAAGTAAAAAATTTTCAAGTCGAGAGGCGCGGATTAGGGTTTGATTTTAGACCCATGGTTTCTTCAGAGAATTTTCTTAGAATTTAATGTAGATTACGTTTTTGCTATACGATTTTTAATTTTTTTTTCATCCATACAAATCAACCCGCCCTAGTGTACATGCATACCTTGACTGCTTTTCATGGGTTTCACCATAATCTAACCTACTCGTACAATGGCTTCAGCAATAGTCCGAATTTTCTTGAGGAATGCACTGCGTTGTAATTATCTACTGTGCTCTCTGCTCCTCATAGTCCTTGCTGTGACATATAGGGCCAAGAAATTTCTAGGGCCTTCGAAAAAAAATGTCAAATTTGTCAGATTTCAAGTCAAATTTTGTAGAACTTTTGCGATTTTTTACTTAAATCTTTTTCGAAAACCTGTCACCGATCTCTGAATTATTTCGTTTTTAATTTTGCACTTTGACCTCCGTTGCTAGGACGTGGACATTTTCGCCCTTGGTCTGGTCAATTCGATTTCATCTCTATTAAAATGAAGAGCGACAATAGTCCTCACGAAAAGAAGGTGTTTGATCGGCTCTAAAGATATGTACTTAAGTGTATACGATATAAAATTCTTCTACCTGAAAACAAAAATCTTACCTTTAAACGCCCAACAACTTTCTCCACAAATACAAAACACTTTTCATATTTTTGTTTTAGCACAATTTCGTATTTATTTTTCTTTGATTTAATTTAGTGAAAAATATAAAAAAATATTTAAGGTGTATTCTCTTACGATAAGAATAAAAAAGTATTAGATCATCAATTAGTATCGAGTATCGATTATCGCATAATTTTTTTTTTTTGTTTTGTTTCTATGAATTTTACAAATTCACTAACAAGAATGTATCAATGGATGTATGCATGTATGTTTATGAGTGTGTGTTGATAATTTATAGTTTGTTTTTAGTACAAACAAATAACTTAAAATTAGCAAACAAATTAATGTTGGCAATTGCATTATTGGGAAGTATAATCATTAATAAAATGTAGAAATAATAATAAAAATGCAATAATGTCAATAATACTCAATGCAAACAAAAGTAGAGGAGCTCACTAAAATTTTCTTATAAAATAAAATTAGGAATTAGTACTTAAGTAAATGTTATGCATGTATGTATGTATGTACATATAGACATACATATGTATGTATCTACAAGTACATATGTATAATAGGAGGGCTTTATATAGGAAGTGTTGGCTTGAGCAACGAAAAACAAACATAAATCAAGTATGTGCATTATCATTAAGGTGCCTCACCAAAAAAAAAAGTTGCGATTTTTGCACCGGAATTATAAAATTTCTTATATTTTAAGACTTTCGCCAAAAAAATATTTAGAAAAAATATTAAGATTTACGTGAGCTTGATCAAAAATCTCATTATTTGGATTCCGCTAAAAAAAATTTTAACAGTTTTATGCAGCCCTTTTCAGCTTAAGCTCTTCTTTAATCTGACAAGCTTTTTTTGAAAAAAAAAAATCAGTTTTAAGACGAAATTTATTTATGAAAACCTCGATTTTCGGAGGTATTTTCAAAGGAATCCAGCTCAAATCTTAATATTTTAATATTTTACCGAAATATTTTGGCGACAGTCTTAAAATATATGTACCTACCTAATAAATTCCATTGCAAAAAAGGTACTAATTTTTTTGTAAGTAGAGTGATGCACCCTAATGCACATGATAATACTTATAAGTGAGAAAGAAATGTATGTATTATTGCTTAAGTTGCGTAGGGAGCACTAATTAGTGGAATAAATATTTATTATATGTACTTAGTAGGAAAACCTTTAAATGTTCAAAAAAAATTATTTCGCTGAGTGTCTACCGATTCCGAACTGAGCAAAACTGATTTCGTTGAATAAACTGAGCTTAAAAAGGTGAAACTGAGCGCAAATAGGAAAATAAGGTTTCAATAATAATAATAAAATGGATAGCCTACAATAAATAAGAGTATAAAATGTAAGTATGTATGTTAGGGCGGTTCTATTTGTATGGGAGATTTTTTCGGCTATGCGCGTATAGCACAGAAGGATTCTACGTGAAATCCTAAGCAAGTTAGCCGAAGAAACCATGGGTCTAAAATCAATATGGAGTTTGCCAAATTGCGAAAACAGGATTCTTACAATTTTTCTGTAGTGTCGTAATGAAGTGCTTAAATTTTGTATAAAAACATACTACAAGTGATTTTTAGCATGAGAAATCCTTTTTTTACCTTCCACCAGAGGGCGCAACAGTGAAAACTTTCACATGTTCTTCGAAAAATATTCTCGCAATTTGGCAAATTCCAAATTGATTTTAGACCCATGGTTTCTTCAGAAAATTTGCTTAGAATTACACATAGAATCCTCCTATGCTATACGGGCATATTCCAAAAAAAAAAAAAAAACAATTGACCCGCCCTAATGTATTTACATATGCATACATATGTACATATATGGAGCAAATAAATAAATATAATTACTAGGAAACTTTTAATAATTCGAGCAATTCACAAACACAAGTTTTAGTTTCATATAAAAATTAAAAAAAAAACAGGAATCGAATGTTACATAATTCAAGTACTTATTGCATTTTGCTTCTTCTTCCACTTGGGTATCTTTCATTTACTTCTCTTTAAATATGTATGCATGCTGCACTGGTGAAAAGCTTCATTATCACGTCATTTCGGGTATGTTTTGGTTAATAAATTAGTGTTTAAAGTAAAATCTTAAGATTTCAAAATAATTCTTAAATTCTTATTCTTCACTTCATTTTCAGCATTTCATCACTTGTTATTACAGCTTAAATTGTTGCGTGCACATAATTATTTATTATTAGTTAATTTAATGCAATTATTAATAAAATTTATTTTTATTTTATTTTTTTTTTTTAATTTAGTGTCTTGTATTTATGTACGTAGGGTGTGTAAGTGTGCATGGCATCGCTTAATTTGCCAATTGCTGCTACAAACAACAAAATTTTTTGGTGTTTTTTTTTCTTATGATTGAGAAGGCAGTCAGCGAATATTTTCTCTTTATTCCACAAATGATACTTCGAAGCACCATAAATGCGAATTTTTTTTTTATTTCCAGTCATAAACGCCTTAAAAAGTTTATTATTAACTTTTTTCGATTTGTTTAAGTCTTCTCTTTGAGCAGAGCGATTAGATGATTCTTCTTGGCTTTCTCTGATTTACTATATTCATCCAGAAACTGTACATAAATTTTGTTAGAACGAAAAGAGATTAGTAAAGGGCGCAAATTAAACTTGCAAAAAAGAGAGTTACAAGAGCAAGAAAAATTACATAGTACAAAAATGCATAAAATTAAAATGCTTCCATGTATATCTACATTTCCTTGCACCCTGTAATTATTGTTGGTGAAAATATATAATTTTTGTTTTTACACTTACTTCTAAATTAAAATCACGTGCTATCACATTGCGAGCATTTTGATTTTGGAACGTTATTGTGACTAAGCAGGGATAAACGACCACATTCAAATGTTCAGGTAATTTGGTTAAGCTCTTAACTATAATGGAACATTGCTCAGAGGTGAGTAGATCCTTTTGCGTGGGTAGATAACGGTAGTAACGAAAGAAGACAAATGCAAAAAAAAAAAAAAAAAAAAAACAAATCAAATGTGAGTAAAAAATTCACTATGCCATTAATCGAAAATGAAACCAAAATCCGGTAAGACACTTACTTGATTCTTCTTGTTGTTGGCACAGAGGAAGCCAATTGTCGCTATCAGATCTATGATCACAGCCTGCGTTTCACTATTTTTAGCCGCCGAGCATTTGTTGCCGCAATATTTGAGTAAAATTGTGACAACATCGAGGAATTTTAGCGAAAGCGTTTCACTAGACATGACATCCTGGAAGGAGAGGAAAAGATTGAACAAATTACAAAAAAAAACAGTCTTAAAAATTCATTAGCTGAAGATACGAAAGCTTAAAAACAAGTTTTGGGAAGCAATCATATTCAGAGATAATTTTAAATAAAGATTCTCCTAAACATCAGGCAACCATATTTTTATATCTTGCACGCTCGTTAGGATCTTATAGTTACTATCTGATGTTCAGTGGGATGACTCCACGGTAGTTGTCGCATATAACAGAGTTGCATAGGTCTTTTTATGGATTTGGATGCCGCCTTTATAGGACAATTACGACAGTTCTCTGTCCCCACATTTGAATCGCTTAGCTGGCAAACTATCAAAACTGTTATTTTTATCTTTCTCCTCTCTCGTTCTTACATGAATTTCTTCCAGTCTTAAAACGTGAAGTCCTAATATTATTATACATAGTTGGACATAGAACGATGTGGCCTCCCCTCATCCTCTTAATGGATTTATTGCCTCTCCTCTAATCCAGCATACGTGAAAATTTAGTATTATAATTGCACCTAAATCTTATGTTTCCACCAAATAAGGTGTGGTAAGATATTGCTTTAACTGAACCTTCGCAGCTCTATTTTTAGGAATGGCTAAACAGTGAATTGTGGCGTTCTTTGGTTGGTTGATTGGTAGAAGTGTCGCCTCAGCCCATGTCCAGACCAAATTAAAGCTGATCCTTGATTGTATCTGCTTTCAAGATTCGTCGGTTTCGTCAAACCATTTGGATTTTTCGAATAATCTATTTAGGCTAGTAATGGTGCATTTGGAGATCTCCCTAAGATTTTGGATAGAAAACTCCAGAGTGTGTCATGACTTATTCGTGCCGATGCTGGGCACTCGCAAATAAAGTGTAGGACCGTTTTCTTACTTCCCTCAAGACTACAGCTAGGGTACCGAGGGCCAATGTCCCGATATTGACTATATCTTTCCTCGATCTCTTTAGAAGTTCTTCTGACTCTCTAATGCTTGTATTGTTGTGTGCATTTGGTTTTTCTTGACAGAGGAGAGACAATGATGGACCTAGTGCTACAGACTATTATACATATGTATCTCGGACCCCGCCGAAGACGATCATCCGGGGACGGCTGTTAGGCGTTTCGATGTGGAGGCTAAGTTTTTCGGCTGAGCCCCCAGAGGTACCTTCATTTGATCGTGGCGGGGTTAGAACGCGTCGGTTATCTCAAATACCTTATAGAAAGTGTTTTTGTATGCAGATCCTTGATATTAGAAATGTATAAATAAGTACATACACACAAAGTACGTACGTATGTATGTAAGTATATCCTTTGAAAGTAATCCTTATCATCTTGTTGTTCTTGTTAATTAAAACACTTATTTTATGAATTTATTTCCGGTATTCTGCATTTTACAGTCACATTTTGTGTGCGTTTCACTTCAGTCTGGTTATTTTTGCCAATTAAATGTTTAAATACATCGGCAATTCTCTTTTCTCCCGCGGCTGGCTGCCGCTTCGTCAACTTTAGAATGCTTGCGCTGGCAATTTTATTAAACAAACTTTGGTATTTGTTTTAAATTACCACAAATAGATAAGTGCGCATTCGTGCGGAGTCCTAACCAAATTTTAAATGCCAAACAAAAAGCAGAAAGCTTGCTGATGCACTCACAAATCACCCTCCCATAGAGTATATATGTATGTATAGCCACCCCTGGAGCGTATAAATTGGGATGCGTTGAGATTGATATTTGTATTTTTGTTGGTTCTACGCTTTGGTTTGCTGGTATTTGCTTAGCAGGCGGAGATAATTCAGCGCTTTCTAGTTAGCTTTCATTTTACGCATCTACCCTCTGGGAAAATTTTAGGTCAAAATTTTAACTGGTTTATGTGACAAACTTAGGCTTTTGATGTTAACTTTATTAGGAGTTGATTTAGATTTACCTATGAATTAGCTTATGTTGGTTATAGAGCACATTGAGACTTGCTTTACAATTGGCATAAGTAGGGAAAATCGTTGTCTTACTGCCCTCGCGTGTTGGCCAGTGACCCGTAACCATGGCTATTAATCTATATATGCCCCTTCTAGACCTGCATAAGAGGTCTTGTCATTGTTTTGCCGAATTTGATTTGCTATTCTGCAATAGATGCTCGCTTCAGTAAATGTTCAAATGACCGCTAGACTGTCTGAGTCTGATTTCGGACTCACTGCATTGGTCTAGGTGATTCGCCTGACATGATAGGATAATGTGAGAATCGTCCCAATGAAGGAAGGAAGTTTAAACTACTTGATTTTCATTCCTTGGTACAATAAAAGTTCTGCTTAGCCCGGATCCCTGTGAGTATCCCGAATAACGCTTCCTTCAGTTTTTCGCTAATCGTAGCAGAAAGGAGACATGATACTGCTATTACTAAGTCAAGATTGCCATTCAGTGCTGCCATCTATAAAAGCGGGAAGGAAACGTCTCTTGGAGGAGCTCCTTGATTCGCAATTTGGCGGATTGTATTTCGAACCGCTGTTTGCTTTGCTTCAGTCCACCTGCATTCCAATTTTTATAAGAGTTTGAATAATTGTCTCAGTTCCTTTTATGTCCACGAAGGCATTAAAAATGAACTGTTGGTAATGAAACCTTTTTTATACAGGCTCATGAAGCGCAGTCTCAGTTGACGACCTTTAATGCACGCATGCTAGGCAGTCCGAACCCATCAATGATGATTTTATGTGTAGTACTAGTATCTTAACAGATTTTCAGGTAAAAAAAAAGTATAGCTTATTGGGCTAAGATCTGTTTCTTTGTCGCGAGTACCCACGCTGCTCTTTGAACTACTTGCAATAAATACACTAAAGGTCGTTTTCTCAACTAGCTTTTAAAATTTATCTGCCCTTTAAACAAAAATTTTGTTCTAAAAAAATGTAAAAGCTAATTGCTAAAACGGTCCTAAGCCCAACATATTTCGATAAGATCAGAATTGGAAAAATTTGGTACTTTCTTCCTAAAATCCCATCAAAGGGATTCTCGAAAGTATTGCAAGGTTAAGAGTTCAAAATCGTCGAATTTCCCTACAGGGCTTATTACAGTATGCGCATGTGTGTTGATTTGTGTACATAAGCTCATTGTTTGGGTTGTTGTTTTTCTCCTCATTTCGTTGTTGTTGGTTTTTGTTGTTATAGTACTTCTGCAAATAACTTTATTAGGTTTTAATCATGAGCTAAACAAAGTAAATTCAACCCAGTTCAACTTCTGTATGCGCATATAAATATGTATGTATCTATCTATCTACTCGTACATCTATCGCTTTCGTGTTGGCTTCAAACTTAATTTCTGTGTGTGTGGCTTGTATGTACATACATGTGTTTGTGTACTAGTATAAAGAGGAATTCAGTTCATTTTCTGCCACAAATATTAAATATTTACACAATCAAATGAAATTTTTGAGAGATGCTGCAATTATTTACTCAATATACCAACTTCAAAATCAAGCCACTATTAAAATGTGAACGAAATATATTAAGGGTATTCAGACTATATTCGTTAAGGTTAAAATTCGGTATTCGGTAACTCTCACCATTGTTTTGCTTTTGTAAATTACCGAATATATCATTACCCAACTTAACGAGGTGACAAGTCTGTCACTTATTTGCTGGAATTTTCTGCCGTGAAAGGTGCATATATTTTATCAAAAGTTCAATAAACCTTCCTGCCGTGGAATAAATAAATGTTTATAAAAAAAGAACTTCACGTCAGCTGATTCGAAAGTAATTTTAACCAAAAAAGGATAAGGTGCGTTCAAAGTTAAAAGTATAGCCGAGTTACCAGATAACCAGTTAATACATTAACGAGGATAGTCTGAATACCCTTATTGTGTACATATGTATGTATGTATGTATGTATGCATGCATGTTTGTACGTACTAAGTACCCGAGGGGCTTTGGAAGCCAAAATATTTATACTAAGTAGTAGTCGAAAGTTACCTTAAAAATTGGACCTATGAAACTGAGTCTCTAAAAATTAATAAAATTATGGAGAATTCAAAACGTAAAGTATTTCAAAAACTAAAACCCGCTGCTTCCGAAATTCTAGCAAACATTTACAAACAAACGTAAATGTCTACATATTTTTATCTGAACTTCGAACACTCAGCCCACAAACGAAATTGATTTTCGCGCTCCGGTAGTTGAAAAAGTGGTCTGAAGTACCTTCCATACTCTGTTCTACTACCGACTGATGCAAAGTCTGCACTGCTTGACGGTCTAAGCGGCCGACCGACCATCCACTGCTCTTTGTACGACCTCATTGTGTACCATCTAAATTAGTTTGCACATTGGCCACCAGATTGGCAAATGCAGCGACGCATTCGTCAAAAAGATACGCAAACAAACATTTGGCATAACAAGCAAATACACAATGCCGGTAAATATTGACTTTTGATGAGATTGGAAAGAGGTGAGCGCGGGAGTTGGGAAGGTGCAAAGCGAGTTGGCAGGCGGAGTGTGGTCAAACAGAGGAATGGAGATCAAAACTAGGCGGGTTGACAGCCTGCGACAGGTTGAGAATGTTAAGGATGAGCGCAAATCTAATTATTTTACTATGCTATATTTGTATTAAGGAGCCTGAGGAAAAGACGAGTCTTGTAGTGTACAATGAAGTTCATAATTGATAAGGGCCTAGTGATAGTTTGAAGGCAAAGGTAAAGTCCATAAATTATTTCAATAGCTAGTTGAGAATTTCAGATCCACGAAGAGCACATGCAGCCGGGGCTTGAATGCAACCATTTTCTGGCCTTACCCTTAAACCTATCCGTCATCTCGGTAAATATTAAGAAGACATCGAAAATGCCGTCTTAAATTCCATCCAATTAAGTATTTTCTTGGGATGGCAGACTTTAAAGTTGCTTCCAATCTCCCAATGGGAGTCAAACGGTTTTCTTTCAGCTATTTCCCGCAACTGTTTGGCTGTGGCTGCGCGGTCTACACTCAGATTCTGGAAACCTCCCCTTTCATTTCTTACGCTATAGCCAAGTAACT